TTCTTGCTTAACTGGTGCATAGCCAGGTGACTTTCTGATGTGTTAAGCATTGCCAGAAGGCATATTGGAGAAGCAGCTCAGAAAGGATGGTTATTTGTTGGTTCTAAACTGTTTACATGGCCCAGGAAATGTACAGATTACTGAGTAACTAGTAACTACTGAGTAAAGGTGAGGCCAAAAGAAACAGCCTTTTCCCCCTCTCTAAGGCACTCTTAATACTGAACTGATAGAGAATAAATATTTCAAGCAAATACTAATTACTTCTCTCCTCTCAGTACTAGTGGCAGTGTGCTGTAATAACCCATCATCCATAGTCCACAATTCATCCTCTAGGAGCACTCAGTTCTTCATATGGTTGTTTTGGATGAAGTCCCTTCTCCAGTTTTTCTCTACAGCCTCTAAATATTTTATAGGTAGAGAAAGCTGAACAGTGTCTCCATTTAGCATGAGCTGACAGCTTCACAGAGGGATCTACCTTAATGAATCACTGTGATATTTGCCTGAATAAATGCATGCTATGACCACCTAAGCCACGAAATCCTTGTCTCCCTCAGATAAGGTCTGTGGAGGCATATTCCCAGCCCCCTGCTGATAGTCAGACTGGGCCAACGTTATGTTTGTTTCTAATGGGGATGATGCTAGCTGTGTCCAAGCTTGCCATCGCAGCTGTCCATAAGGACTCTGAAGCAGGTGAACATACCTACACTGTAGAAACTCCTACCCTTTCCTTTTTGACCCCCTTAAAATAAATAACAAAAACCCCCTGACTTCAGTGTTGGTGTGGGTTTATTAAAAAGCACTGTGTAATGTTGGTCATTAAATTGTCTCTGTTCTCTCTCTCTGTACTGTAGGTTCGGGCTGTGGGAGTGTTGCAATACTGGTGGAAAAGAGAAAGATTGATACTGCTAATTACCCTGGCTTGTATCCCAGGAACACGAAGTGCCACTGGCTCATAGAGGCTCCAGCAGAGTATGCTGTAAAGGTAATAAAGGAGAAACTGCACTTAAACCTCTGCACTGAAAGCCATTCAGGGGAGTGATTCAATAAAATCCTGCCAGAAACATCTGTGACACACAAGAACATAAATTGTAAGGTTTCTAGGTCGCTGACTTTTTACAGGGCATATTTTGTCAATTAAACACACTCTGAATCAGTGTGCAGGGCTGCTGTGACTGTTCTAAGTGCTTTAAGTCTGGTGGCACCAATCTCATCGCTACGTAGCTTTATCTTGAAAACCAGAGCATTTGAAGGTAAAGAGGTAGAGACCATGTTGTGAACAGCCAGCTTTTTCCTTGTGGCAGTGTTAATAACCCCAGGCTGTTCCTTAGCACCATACCAAGGTGTTTATTCTTGTGTGTGAGTAGTGTAGTGATGGTTCCCACACACAGTACCAGCATCTCTCTTTAGTTTTACTGCACATCTCTGTTAGAGTGCAGCAGGCATCCAAATGGTGCTGTTCTGTGTTGTCATCTTATGTTGTTTGGAGCATCTTTTCTCCCCTGCTGCCTTGGTTAAGAGATGGAAAAGCAGTGTTAAACCTAGGGATGCCCAAGGGTATGGAAACCTATTCTTTTGGTTACCACTGCTCTGTTGGCATTAGATGTTTTGGTCTGGGTTAAAACCAAACCACCAAAGGAAAAGCTCTTGAAAGAGCATTCCATGAGAGATATCCTTCTAAAGTATAAGGCACAGAGTGTCCCAGTAGAGATAGCAGGAGAAATCTCTTCAGGTGAGACTTAAGTCGGATCCATCCTCTGCAGCTGTCTGTAGCTCCACACAGAGGAGCAGTCCACACTATTAGGCCAAGACTGCCCACAGACTGCTCTAATGCAAAATGTGACTTGCCAAGGAAAGCCACACTGGCAATCCTAAAAGTGACTTTTCTCTAGCCCATGGTTAAGAAGGGCAAGAGCTTCAATCACTACTCTGCTCTTGATGATTCCCTCTTGCTTGTTCTCTTCACAGCTGGAGTTTGAGAACTTTGCAGTTGAACTTAGCCCAGGCTGCACTTACAGTTCAGTTGCTGTTTACAGTGATGAAGATGAAAATCAGCTGGGTGAGTATTAATACTTTCAAAATGGAAATCCCTGTGGAAACAGGTGCCACATCACCAAAATATGTTCTGTTAATGTGATATCACAGGAAAAGTGGTGTAAGCACTTCTATCTTGCCTATCACGGCCAAGTGTACCATTGGCACAGGAGATCCCACGTCCTAGCTGTGACCTTGCTTTTCCATGGTGCTGGATGGCGTTGAGGGGCTTTGTACAGGACCGTGGTCGTGTTCTGCCGCAGAGCACACTACTGCTCTGCACCTCTATCAAAGAAGAGAGCAAGTGCATCACTGCTCTGAGTTTCATTAAGAAGACAAATGTTTAAAGTAAGGCAGAGGAAAAGCACAGTTGTCAGTTGGTGTCTAATTCCACTGCAATGGATGTGAATTCTTTATGAATTCAGCTAATTTGGTGGGGATTTCATTAATGAAAAAAATTGCTAACCTGAGGCACCTCTTTCCAATGCTTTCAGAAGGAAATATTTTCTTAATTCTGTACTTTATATCTGCTTCAGTTTTATCAACATAACAATCTTTAGTGAGATAAACGTTCTTAATTTTCTTGAATATATATTTCCAGATGTTCCTCCTGCTTGGACAAAAGGAAAGCATGCTGTAACACCACAGCTTCTTTCAAAAACAGTTTCCAGGCAAAACATTTAGCAGAGCTTGATATCTATTTTTAAGGTGAAAAGCAATCTGGCACTCAGAAGTGAAGACTGAGTTGAATTCTGGCTACATCTTTACAAGTCTATATGTGAACCAAAAAAACAGAGTAGGGTGATGAGATATCCAGCTTTTTTGGTATAAAGAAATGGACAAGAGGCCCAAACTGTCCTGTATTTACTGGTGACAAATGGTCTTTGGCTTCTACTTTTTTCCCCATCTGTTTTGCAGTGGTAATTTAGTTGCATATGTTTACCAAGTGCTGAATGAATATTAACATTACAACCCCCTTGAAAAGAAGTCTGGTTTCCATTGGAAATGAGGGTGTACTTACACAGGAAGGGAGAAGGCTGACGAAATCAAACTTGTAATCTTCTAGGGAAGAATGTCAGCATTTCACTCGATGCTTTCCAGTTCAGTTTTGCTGTAGGAAATTCACATTCTTACAGGAAAGCTGCTTGGGAATAAAGTACAAGCTTCCTGTCCAGCTGCAGGGATGGGAATTCCAGATGCTATGCAAAAATGGTATGTTCTCCAAGGGAAGAAGAAACCTCCAGTAGATGTAAAGCTGATGTGCCTACAGCGCAAGTAGATCATTCAGGAGAAATTCTGCAGGTACCATCACCGTGGCAAATAGTCCTCAAGCAAAGGTTCTTTGTGCAGTGGAAAGCATTCACACTATCTGTTGTAATTCCACCATTAGAAAGCTGGGATTGTTTTTGCATGCCTGTAATATGATTGCAGGGGATAAATTCTGTCTGCTATTGCTTGCTGATGTCACTGACTACCGTTGTCATGCAAGTTTTTCTTCTCAGCAAAACAAGAACTTTTTCAAGAAGTGACCAAGTCCAAAAGTTTTGTGTGTTTTTTTTAGAAACCTAGATTAGCTAAAAACACAACTGCTTAAGGGATATCAATTCTCATCTTAAAAATACATCTTGTTCCTTCCTGCAGCTAATCTCTGTGGATTCTCAGCTCCCAAACCAGTGCTGAGTCCAGGAAATACTATGCTGGTGCATTTTGGAAGTGATGGGGAGAACAGCTTCAGAGGATTCAGAGCCCATCTCACTTTTATTCATTCAGGTGAGTAGAGAGATGCCTGCTGTGTCTAACAATGTCTGCACCATTTGCATCTGTTCTTAGACAGCCAAGCCTATTTTTTAACCTAATCCTGCTGCATTATGTCAAGATAATTTTAAAACAGAGTAGCTGCTTGTGGCAGAGCTGTCAGTCCCGAATAAAGGAGAAGATTTAAGGTTGTTTTTTTCTTATGTCTCTCAGGGAAATGAGATGACTAACTTCTAATACCTGAAACAAACAGCCTTGTTAATGTTATTATTCTGATAACCCCCACCAGTACGAGCTGAGGGGTGTAAGGATGGTGCACAGCCCTGCTCAAAAGAACCTGGCAGTACTGGTGGATAGCAAGCTGGGCATCAGCCAGCAATGTACCCCCACAGCCTGGAAAGCCAACCGTATCCTGGGTTGCATCAAAAGAAATGTGGACAGCAGATGAGGGAGGTGATCCTGCCCCTCTGCTCTGCAGTGGTGAGACCTCACCTGCAGTACTGCATCCAGGTGTGGAGTCCGCAGTACAGGAGAAACATAGACTTGTAGGAGTGCATCCAGAGGAGGACCACAAAAATGATCCAAAGGATGGAACACCTCTCCTACAAGGACAGGCTGAGAGAGCTGGGGCTGTTCTGCCTGGAGCAGAGAAGGCTCCAGGGAGATCTGAGAGCGGCCTTTTGGTATCTGAAGGGGGACTGAAAGAAGGAAGGGGACAGACTCTTTAGCAGGGTCTGTGGTTACAGGACAATGGGGAATGGTTTCAAGCTAAAAGAGGGGAGATTTAGATTGGATATGAAGTAGTATTTTACAATCAGGGTAGTGAGGCACTGGAGCAGGTTGCCCAGGGAGGTGGTCCCATCCCTGGAGACACTCAAGATCAGGCTGGATGGGCATTTGAGCAACCTGATCTACCTGTGGGTGTCCCTGTTCATTGCAGGGGATTTGTCCAGATGGCCTTTAAGGGTCCCTTCCAACTCAGACAATTCTGTGATTCTGCAGTCCCTTTGAAAATCTAGTTACAGAAGAGAGCCACGAACCTGGGACCTAGTCTGCTGTCACTGCTTTCTATTTTCATGACTGTGTGCCAGCTGCTGCTTGGGGAGATGAATAACATCTCTCTTTGAGTGGCTGTTTTTGAGGGGATAGCACAGCTCTATTGATCTGATTAAGAGCAAACTCTTATTTTCCCTCTTGCAGGTCTGAAAGTCTTTCCCCAAGTGTGTAAGAGGGATTTTGCAGCGAGGCGGGTTCTTGTTGATCTCAAATCCTTTTGTGCACTATTTCTATGGACAAAAAGTAATAAGGAGGTACCCAATCTTTGATTCCCCATGCATGTGATATGTTCTCTTTATTCTGGCTGCATGCTCTTCCTGCTGAGACTGGGGCCACAGAGGTAGAGAGTGGGAGAGACCTTCTTGCAGTTCCTGAGCCTTGTTTTCTCTTTTAAGTGCTAAACTCCTTAAGATTCAAGCTTTCAAGTGTCTGTTTTTCCTTCCTACATCACTTTCAGATGGGGCAAATTTGGTGTCTTCTACATCTTTGACCTACCTATATCCACTGTGCAAGGTTACCTAGAAAAACAAGAAACTTGCCTGCAAAAGTGCAACCATTTTTCTGTATCTTGCAGACATCTGTGGCCTTCCCACAGTGGTGTTACTAGGGCTGAATAGGCCTTTCCTCACAGCTGGCCACAGCGTGCTGCTCTGAACCTCCTTTGAGACTACCAGTTGTCATCAGCCCCATATGGATCCTGACAGCTGCCCACTGTGCTCCATCGTGAGTGTGTCCAACTGTTGCCTTTGCTCCTCTCCTCACGCTGTGTGTTCCTCTGGGCTGGAGAGAAAGCAGCCAGAGAGCTACAGATTGTATTCATACCTCTGAAACTTCCCTTCTGCCCTTCTTCCTGTGAACAGTGTTTTGGGAGATAGCAACGACTTTGTCTTGCCTCTGAGATCTGTTAAAGTTAATTGGACTATCTGTGATCAGAGCTGTAACAAAGCCAGAACTGATGCAATGCATTTGTTGTGTCGAGAAGCTCTTGCTCGGCAGTTCTGGGAATAAGTGACTAATTAGAGAAGAGCCAGAAGGGATGTATGGCTGCTGAATAAGGAAGCTTGAGCAATCGACTATAAGTAGTTCCAATAAGTTTGCTCTCATTATATAGATCCAAGAAACCCTGACTCTGAACTGTGACAGCAGACCATGGTAGAGCCCTGAGAGATTCAACAGAACAGGTAAAAAACAAGCAAGAACATGAGAAATATTGTCTGTGATACATTTGTCCTTACCATATTTCTCAAAACAGATCTGTGTACACAAAGAAAACTGTCTTGGCAGCAAGGCAAAATGACCGGTGGGTAGCACAGCTTCAGGAATTAGAAAGGAAGTCCAGTGATTTGGTCTCACTGAGGTAACTTACAGCTTCTGGAAGTGCATTTTATACCTGGTTCTTATTACTTGTGGTAAAGACTTAAAAATCTGGCAGATGACTGAGTGTCCTCGATATCTTACTCTCTTGGTGCTGAGCAATATATCTGTCTATAAAAAGGTTGCTGACTTTTCTCTTCTAGTGGGGAGGAGGAAAAAATACATGTGGAAAAGAGGTGACTCACTCTAAAAAAATTATTGGTTTGTATTTGCACAGCTTATTAGCTTGTATTTGCACAGTGCTGCAGTCAGCCATCTCTGTAGGCTCAGGAGATCTAAATAATGTGTCCTGGCAATATTCTCAACTGGAAAGTGAGGGATTTCCATTTGAAGTCCTTGCAACTTATTTGCTTCGTTTTAATGAGTTTGGTCATTCTTTGTGGTTTTGCCCTCCTCCTTTATAGGTACGTGTTTGGGATGCACTTACAGGGGAACTTGTCCCTTCTTTGTCCTGACCCTCCAACGTGCTGCCTCTCCATTTGACATGGTGAGCTGTGACTCTGACATTGCCCCGATGCAGCTGGATGTCCCACTGGAGTACACCACTGCTGTGAGACTGCTGTTTCTGCCCAACAGCCCTGTGTCTTCCTCTTCCCTCTGCATTGCATCTGGATGGAAGATCACTGAAGAAGGTAGGTCTTCTGATTTTTGCATGTTGCTCGTTATCATTGGAATATACACTTCCATCTCTATTCTATTCTTGTGCCCAGACCTAACCTAGAATTATTCCCCAAGCTGGTGGGAGCTGAGCTAAGCAATTTCAGCAGACAGAAATGTTAGAGGGGAGTGCTCCTGAAGTTGTCTGCATACAAGCATTGGTAGGTCTCCTGGGGGAAGGAGCTGGTCAGGGCAGAGAACAGCAAGTAGCAAATGACAGCTAAAGCTCCAACAACCTGCCATCCCTGAAATGGACACTGCTTACATGAGCAGTCAATCTGTACTGCAGATGCAATGTGCGGTGATGCTAGGATGTGAGATCATTAATTGTAGTGTTGTTTCTCTGGACAATAATGTCTGTGATGCCTGTGGAGAAGGGGATGTTCTTCACTTGCACATTGAGTCCTATCTCTTCCTAGTGAAATAATTGTAGCTGGCTTGGAACCTCTTTCAAGGCATGCTCTTCAAGATCATCTGTGAAGACTTGAATTGTTTTTATAAGACTTATATTACAGCAGTGTCCAAGACTACTCTGTGAAATAATGAGGCAAGCTGGTAAGAACAGCTGAGTAAATAAAAGGCAAAGTAATTTTTATTGAGGTGCTGCCAAGCTAAAATGCAGGTTCTGCTCAATATCACAATCTTATGGTAGGGTGCTATTTCACATGTACAATAAAACATGATTGACTAGTGCCTTTTGATTTTCAGCCCACGCTCAGTCTCCATCTATACTCATAAGCAAACCTTCAAATCAGTCTCTTGGTTCCAGATCTAGGTTGAGTTTCACCATTAGCTGTGCCCTGTTCTTGCACAGAGGATTTCTTGGGCAAATCTGAGCTGTGACAACTCTCCTCTCAGGTACAGCAGTGCAGAGGCCAGATGAGCAAACTTCAAGATCCCAGTCTCTTGGTTCCTATGGTGGTTCTGGTGGCCCCTTGACTATAACCCCTTTGTGGAAAATATTCCACGCGTGTTGAGGTTTTTTCTGGTAGAAAGCAAAATCCAGGAGGCTTCAGTGATTTCCAGCAGAAAGTCCCTTTTTCTTTCTCTTCCTCATGGCTTCCCCCTTTAAAAAAAGATAAAGTCTAGTAGAAATTGAAATAAGAATTTCAGAAGGATAACTCTTGTATTTAACACTTCTGTCTCTTAAATGGAATATTACATTTGGACAAATACCTTTCTCAGTAAAACCAGCTGCTGCTGAAAATTCCTGCCAGACCCATGCTTTGATAGACAGGGCAGTCTGGGACAACACTAAACTGAACTGGTGGATGTAAATATCCCACAGACTTGAGCATCTAGATAAATTTCTCCACAGAAAGTACTAGGGAAACCATAATTTATAATATGCATTGGTGAATAAGGACTTATTTCATGAAAGGGGGGAGTTTATTACAAATACAGAGGCCCTTGTTCTCAAACAGGATGCTCTCTCTCACAACAGAAATGAGGAGATCAAAACTTCATAAAGTGCTTTATGTGATCCCAGTGCTGTCATACCACTTTCCTGCCCCAACCCACTCTGCTCCTCTTTCCCAACAGTTTCTTTCCTCCTTAGGTCAAGATGAACATGGCTTCATAGTTTTGTTGGCAAATGGGGAAATCAGCTCCTCCACCACATTTAATCTGACACGATTCAAGACACTTCAAAGAGCCATCAGATAGCTTCAAGTTCCCTCCCCTCTGTGTTAAATAAACGGGTTTGTCATTTTAGAGAAATGTTTCCACTTTGGCCTTTGGCTCAAGGTAGCTGCACTGGGAAACTGCTGATGCAAAACACTTGTCTTTCAAGGCTCTGTCCCTCTTCTTTCCCTGTCTGTGCACACATACAGCCAAAAATGTAATTCTCCACTTGGTGAATAGTTGGGATTGTCCCACAACTTTTCTTGGGAGACATCTATTGCTGGACAGTTTTCATGTTTCTATTCTCCCTGTGTTTTATTATATTACAGAAAATGGAAGACTTAACTCTTTTTTCTTTTTCCCCTGTAGTGCGCTGTAGTTATGAACAGGAAATTAAAGTCTATGTGAAAGAAAAGTGTGGATAATGCTCCACTCTCGGGTCAGATGAGCAGTTGGACTCCTACTCTGTGCTGCAGCTGCCTGTATCTCTCCCTCATAGTGCCATTCACAGTCCCACATAGACCTATGAAAAATGTTAGTACAGGTGCTGACTAGGGAAGAACTCTCATCTGAGTTAAAACCAGTCACCAAAACCACCAAAACTGAGTTAAAAACAGTCACATGAACGATAGCCAGACCATTCCCAGAGGTAAGCTGGGAGCTGGCTGGAGAGCTTCCAACCCCTGGGATTTGACACAACTGGCTGCTGACCCTGGTGCTCCATAGAATGTAATGACTTTTGTGGATTTACTGGAGGTCAGGCAGTTCATACAGGGGACTGCTCAGCTCCGTAGCTATAAATCTTGGAGATAGATGCTTTAGCATTGCATACAGCTTTTGCATATGGTTTTGTACAAAATGTTCAGAGCCCCGAGGGCTCTTTGAGCTGGATGCCGACCACTGACTCCTTTATCTGACACTCATACAAGCATATTTGCTTCTTACTGCAAGAAGTGCTTGGCCACGGTAACAGTTACTGAGCTGTATGTTAAACTGAATACTCTGATGCTGCACAGAGCATGCCATGGGGAAGCAGCACTGCACCTGGGACTTTGGCAAAGGAGCAGCCAGATAAGCTGTCCACAAACCTATGGTAAGAGGCATCCACACACAATAACTGCGTGGCTCTGGGGGGTGGCTGAGGGCAAGAGGCCACAGCACATTGCCTGCAGAAGGTGGTGGAGCTGTTCAATCTGGGGAGCAGCTCTGCGTGATTCTCCTGAGACTCATCTTCTGTGTTTCAGACTGAGTTCTCTCCAGGTAGAGGTGACTATGTACACTCATATGCATGTACCTGAGCACTCATTGTGTGAGAAGCTCTATCACCCTGTTGTTGCTTTTCAAGTACAACAAGCAGCCTTGCCCTACTGATGCCCTCCTACCACCAATAATGCATTTAATTTTCTCTGCATCTGATGCTGTAACAGTGCTAGAGGAAAGGCTTGAGGCATCTTCAAGTTACTGGGTGCCAGTGGCTCTGGCAACAAATCAGAGAGTTCTATTGCTCACAGCTTCAAAAAACGGTATGTTCTGGAGGGAAGTTGTTACCAGCTCTGTTTGAGGACTTGTGCTATAGCCAGGGTGTTGGCATGCAGCGTGCGCTTTGCTTTTCTCATTGGCATCCTTGCTGGTGCTGCAAAACATCACACTACTGAGATAAAAATAGGCTCCCTGAAGTGAAAAGCAGCAGGAGGTGCGATTGCTTTCCTTGCATCAGCCCAGCAGCTCCAGTTCTGGTTAGCTGGAAATTCATATGAGGTTCCTGTCTGCCCTGAAGCAAGCTTGTCTCAAATGCACTGCTTGTTGCTGGGCGAGCTCAAAGTCATGGCAGGTCCATGGTGCTGCCATGAGTTGAATGCGGGGCTTACTCTGAATGCAAAACAATTTTAAAACTAACTTAGAGACAAGTTCCTATGGCTCACCTCAATAGCCTCTACCTGCCAGATGGCTGCATGCGCACTCATGCTGCCATTGCCTGCTGGAATCACAAGGACTGTGTCCTCCAGCAGTGCTGCTTACAGATAGGAGCCTTTGTCTTGCTCTTTTGCAAAGCTGTATGATTAGCTCATCAATTTTCAACCTGAGGTGCTCAGTCTTTTGCTTTCCCTCTCCCTCTTGGTGCTGTTAGTATCCCATGCAGGAACACAGAGATACGGTGTGTTGTATGCATCTGTTCTGAGCAGAAAGCTCGTAAATGTTGGGGTAGAAGAAATCACGCTTAAACAGAATCAAAGCTGTTCTATAGAGGGCATGACTTCAAAAATTGCTGCCTTGGGAGGCAAACAACCCTATTTTACTTGCACTAAAGGGACATAGCGTTCTCATTAGTGATCTTGTTTTCTCTCATCCTGCTCTATCATAACTACTGAGATGCTTCCAAATATTTCCCTGTTGAGCTGATCTCTTATTTAACAAGTGTTGAGCCTAACTGCACTGCATGCGTGTGTAGCTGCAGGCTAATCCTGCTCTCCTGCTGTGTTTCTGGAGAACTGGAGAATGCACAGACCAAAATGTAAGTTTTCATAACTCTTATCAAAGGTTGGTAGCAAGGTTAAGGGAAAAAAATAAATTATGCTTCTTCCTAAGCACTGAGTGAACACTGAGTTGGGATAGAGTGGGCCCTTGACCAACCTGTACCTGGAAAAAACAGATAAACAGACATCAGATTTATAACACCGCTCAACACTAATTTGCAAGCAAGTCAGCTTTCCTCTGTGACCTGGAGTCTCAACCCTTTGTTGTCCTCCTTGTGTCTGCTACCTGAGTCTCTGAGGCTAAGGCAACAGGACTACATCATGACCCTGCATGCAGAAAAGTAAGAAATTATCAAACTGTGTAGACAGGCACGTTATTTTTATATATGCACTGGCCAGAATGAATGCATCTTAATCCTATGCTTTTTATTTGCGTGTGCCTTTCCTGTGTATGTAGTAGGGAAGTGTGCTTTTGCCCATGATATTGGACTTACTGGAAATTTCAGTATTATGATAACTATGAATATTATGGTTGGACTAGATGATCTTAGAGGTCTTTTTCAACCTTAATGATTTTGTGATTCTGTGATTATACCTGAGGGGGTAGAGAGGAAGGAACTGGTTTCCAATCTGCATGCATATTTACCTCACTGGAAAACCATTTCCTACTACATTTATTGACCTGCTAGACTATTTTCAATCACAGGTAGAAGTGGCAGGTTTCATATAAAGCTGACTGTTTCTTCTTAATGCTTTTATTCATCCACAGAATGTGCAGCAGAAGTGAAGCTAGAAGAGCCTCGGGAGGTTATCTCTGTTCCTTCCTCATCATCGGGGTATGCGGGAAGCACAGAGGAAGAACATCTCTGAAGAATATGGTGAAGATTATAGTGAAACGTCTGTCAATAACAACAGCAAACTTCCAAGAGCCATCTGTAGGATTTATGATGAGAGTTGAAGAGGAAGTAAAGTGCTAGCTAACAACAAATGATACAACTGAGGGCACTCAGTCCTAGAAACTTCTCAGTTTCACTTGGGCCAATTTCAGAATGGGTTTTCATCTCTGATTGCATGACTCTGATGTGTGGTACAGGCTTTAGTTCCAAAGCCTGAATTGTAAACTTGGCTGCAGCCCTTAAACAATGTGTGAGTGCTGCATTGACCCTGTAGGAGAGCTGCCTATCAATCCACTAGGGAATGATAAAACAAACTGTATAGCAATGAGCTGTGGAATTTGGGCAAGTTGTAATGAAAGAAACTTGTGATGCTGTGGTAGTGGCAGCTCCTGATTCAAAGTTGATCTCACTTTCTTCATGCGCTGCAAAATCTGTGAGATAATGAAGTGAAATGTCACAGCAGTAGCATAGAATCCTAGAATGGGTTGCGTTGGAAGGGACCTCGGAAATCAAGTCCCAACCCCATGCCGTGGGCAGGGCTGCCACCCAGCAGATCAGGCTGCCCAGGGCCTCATCCAACCTGGCTGTGAGTCCCTCTGGGGATGGGGCACCCACAGCTTCTGTGACAGAATGCATTATAGGGAGAGGCAATGAAGGATACCGAAGCTTTAGGTTCTGGGGAGAAGGATCAAAATGATCTAGAAATACAGGGAAGTGTGACAGGTATCTAAGGGTAAGTCTGGCACTCTGCAGGGAGAGACTACAGGGAGAGAGATTCAGCAGGCTGGAAAAGGTAACTGAGGAGAAAGGCAGTGGCTTTATGGGCTGCCATAAAGGGCACAGAAAAGTTAAGAAGGAACTAATTTTTGCAACATAAGCAATAGGGATATCAAAGGGAAGTATCGCACGTCGACTTGAAAGCAAAAGTATTTAGTCGGAAACTGTTGATACAAAGTGTAGATGGGGAGGGGAAGGTAAGGGGAAAGGAACAGAGGGAAAACTTATGAAGGCTAGATCTTGTAGAGGTTATTTCAGTTGTGCTGATTTGAGATGATGTTCCTTCTCCTAGCTCTTCAGTGAATTTTTCTTTCTCTCCCCCTCAACCTCTCCCCTTAATTTATTCTGCCTTATACGTTAAACTTTTATTGTGATTACGGGAGTTAGAAATGAATTATATAGAAGGATCCACACTGACACCTAGATGAAGGGTGGTGGAGAAATCCACCATCAGCCTTTAGGAACTCTTTGGGTGAATTCGAATGTATGGAGCTTTCACTCTCCATGTATTTTCATAATGAAGTAATGCCTCTGGAGAAAGTCTTTAGATGATATTCTGTATAGACCCTTGTTGTCTTACATCACACCAGTGATAAGAAAAAAAGTTCCCAATGTAGCATGTCAGGGAACTCTGAGGTGGAAGGGAAAGGACAGATAAGAGAGGGAATGTCTAAGGAGTACTTAGTACACTCCACAGCTATCTTCCTCTGAGAGCTCATTTATAAAAGCACACAGAAAATCTCTAAAATTATGCCTATTACAGCTGAGAATAGCAGTTTAACTGTTACAACTATTTATATGCAGGACAGAGGAAAATACTATCAGAAATGGGGCCATCAGTCAAACTTTTGCCTTAACAGGAGTCTAATAGATGTCTCCCTAGAGCATCCTCCAGCACACAGACTCACTACTATGTAATAGCATTTGTTATGGCTGGCAGTTTTTCAAGGCTGGGTATATTAAACTAGATTCCTATGTCTATTTATATGCCAACATACTGAAACAGTATGAAATCAACTGAAATCTTATTTTTTTTCTCCACTCCTCCAGAACCAATGAGCAACAGAAGTCAGTGTGTGCCTGTCTCTAAACCAAATAGTTTCTATTGAGAAATCTAAAACATAGATTTGGTCTTTCATGCTGACATGCCAAATTTTAGGATGATGGTATGATGGGGGAGAAACAGGTTGGAAAATTCAGAGAGCCAAAAAAGAAAATCCCAAAATATTTTAGTCTCCTTTACAACTGGAAATACTTAACAATGGAGGTGGAATAATGACAATGCTCTAGCCCATTTCATTTTCAATTTATTAATTTTTAAGTACTTCAGCAACTTTTCAGAATAGACAAAGAAAACAAAATGTCTACACTTCTAGGCAGACTTCAGACAGTTGATGGTAAGCAATGAACTGCACAAATTCCTACTGGCCAGAAGTAGGACAGTTCTTGCAGAACAAGAGATGGAGGCTTTGCTTGCTGCCTTATCAGGACTTGATCCCATTGCAGCTGCATTACTGCCATTGAGCCTCTCTAAAATGTGAGCAGTTGCCCTCTTTTCTGCCTTTCCATAGAGTAACTTGTACGAGATTTGCCTACATATGAGATGTTTCTCAAATGTGTTTTTACAGTGTTGTGCTTGGATTTGCTTCTAGATGTGCTGTGAAGTACCCTGAGGTCTCCTGTGGTTTCTCCAGAGCTTTGGGCCTGTGGTGAAAGTGTTGCTTTGTTCCATCAGCCATGGTATTTCTTAAATGATAGAATTAAATACTTCTTAAATGATAGAATCTGGAATCTGGTTGGAAAACTCTGCTAAGGTCTACTTCAGCCATCAACACAGCACCATCATATCACTAAAGCCCTCAGTGCCACATCTATGCAATTCTTCCATGGGCAGTAACTCCAGTACCTCTCTGGGAAGCCATTGCATTAATAATCTTTCTGAGAAAAAATGTTTCCTACATATCCAACCTGAATCTCCCCTGGTGCAACTTAGAGCCATTTTCTCTAGTACTATAGCTAATACTTGGGAGAAGAAGCCAACTCGCACCTCACACAATCTCCTTTCAAGTCATTGAAGAAAGCTATAAGGTCTCCCCAGAGCCTTCTCCAGAAAAAAAAAACAATAGGCTAAACTTGATGCCCAAAGTCCAAGGTACAGTCAAGCTGCACGCTGCTTCCCTCTAAAGAAGATGAACTGAGCTGTTTGATTTTGATTGAAGCTTCAAGAATGTCCTCGTTTACAAGATATCTTCATGGGCATTCTGGAGGCTTTCCATATAGATGTTCTCCAAACATATGTAAAAGCAGAACTCTCTTAAGCTTCAGCTTGGTAAAACTGACTGATATGCAAAATGCTGAAGCTTTAAATGAGGCTGAAATGAAACTGAGTTTTATGAGATTATGATGAACAAGATCTGGCCTAGTGGAATAGGAATGTACTTTCACGATTGGCTCATCGTCATATGAGAATTGTCCTAGTCCATTGTGAAAGCCCCTATAAAACCTAGTATTAAAGATGAATTTCATACTTCACTTTCTTATTCTGCTGTGACTTGACAATATCCAGAAAAATCCCAAGGAGATGAGTTCAGAGCTGTCGCGATACAAGGATGCCACCCTTACAGACTGGGAAGGAAAGATGGGACATCCTGGTGACGGGACGAGACGCAGAAACACCACCAGGTGAGTACCCAAGTTCAGACTCTTGGAACTCCAGCATTAGAATCTGCAAATACTGAGATGTCTTTGGATGAATCTGTAGGTATTACGGATTATGTTAAAAAAAAAAAACAAACGGGTCAAGTTCCTCAAAAGCTGTCAGGAAAACTGGGGTTACCAATGCCTTCTCTCCAGCATCAGACAAATCTGATGTCTCTGGGCAAAGTTATCATCATAAAATTTGTAAGACTCCTGAATGTGGTACAACTGAGGGGTTAAAAATGGTAGTGTTTAACTGTGCTACTAAAAAGCTTTTGGCACTTTCATCTATTTCCTTTTCTACCTCCTTTATTAGGCTTAGGATAAGAGATAATTTTCCATTCACTGGGCAATAGCACAGACTTTTGAACTGTTTGATAGCTTAACTTCAGAAGTAACAAATAATATGCCTGAAATAGATTCAGACCAGTATCCTGTCTTTGACTTTTTCTTTTTAATGGGCATTACAATCCCATTTTCCCTTGGCTCACATTTTGATAGCTATCCCTAGGAAATAAGAGCCAATTGTAAAATGTGCCAGCATTGTGACTTTGTTCTTTGCTTTCTGCAGCAGCTGCCACTGGAGAGTTATAGCCCCATTAAAATCCATTTTTTGAGTTGAAGTCCTGGACTTATGAACTGAAAGAAATCTCTCTAATTGTCATGACCAGCTGATGGTGTATGAAGGATTTGGACTAACCAAAGAGTTAATATGTGAGAGAGCACTTACCTTAATGCTGGGGTAGGTGAAACAGTGGAACTGTTCTGAGTTTCTTTGCAGACAGATGGGGATTTCTACATGGCATGTTTCCATGCTCCAGGAGAGATTTCTGATAATACTTGGAGCTCCTGGCTCGGTATCTTTCCCTTCCCAGGAATGCTGTTGCAATCAAATGTATTGGATGTGAGATCTTAATCATGGCAGATCTGTGCCTGGGAACAATGCAAGTCTGTCTTGGCTGCTTTTCCTAGGCCCGAATGTGTAGCATGGCATCTATCTTCTAGACTTGTGCTGTAGTCCAGTGCACGAATTCAAACCTGAATGGCACCAAGAGTTTGACACTAAAACACTTTCAGAAAGGGAAATATTTTCTAACACCACACTTTTGGAGGTTCTGCTTTACAGGACTTGAGGAAAGGGAGAAAGGCTTACATCCCAGCCTGGCCTATTTTTCAGGCAACCTCTATTTCATGCTGTTTTTTTTCCCCCCACATTAAATGATGTACTAAGTATTTAGCGTGTCAGATCTACCTTCTTTGGAGAGAAATGATCATTAAGAATTAAAGGTCTAGTAGTATTTTTGATTGCAAATGATTAAACGTGTAAGTAGTGGTTGAAATCTTGTGCTCATTCTTTACTACAAACTTGTAGAAAGGAGGCATTAGCTTAGGTGTTGACTTATATGTCCCATTCCATTCTGCTCTAGCAAACCAATGCTCTCACAGTCTGAACTCTTCAGAGTTCCAGTTGTTTCTCAAGTCAACCTTTTTCTGGTTGATCACATCTGTGTAAACTCCATGTAGAATTTGTGCTTAAGAAGCCAAGCAAGCTTAATTTCAAACAGCAGAACTTAAATCTTCATTACAGTCTGGGCTTTCTCCAGTATCAACAGGCCTGCTTAAGGAAATTCATGCAGAAAAAGGTTTAAGCAAGTGATATGATTGTTTTATTTTGTATTGTTTTGACAGTGCCCGGGATATAAACCGAAGGCTATTAGAGACTATAACTAAGGATGCAAGGATCTGCATTTGGAATTTAGTGTTTATGATGGACCACATCTCCCTCAGGCAAGAGTCAAGTGGCAGCAGGCTTCCCAAGAGACATGAAGAGAAGGTTTGTCATCAAGGGCCTCTTAGGTGGAAGAGACCTGCACGCAGTCCATCCTGACTTCCATCATCATGGATACGTGGGAGGATACTTACATCAGTTCATTTTTTACACCCCTTTTTTCTTGCTACTCATCTCGCTGTCTGAAATGCAGTTTGAGCGGGTACTGCTGTGAGTACCAAAGCTGCCTTGTGCCATAAAGATAACAGGATCTTTGGTTACAGAAGTATTTACTGAAATGGTTTTTCTTGTTCTCCCACTGCCTCCATCCTTTCTCCTCCCACATACGTAGACATTTAGAGAGCTGTTTGTTGAAGTAATCTCACTGGAGTATGAGATACACGTTCATACAGAGCGTGGGAGCAATTTGGCCGTTGCAGTAGGCTCCACTTCTATATTCTGGGTAGGAAGTGATGTTGCATAGGCAACTGGAGACACACCTCTTGAAAGATCTCAGAGCTCTCTTAGCATCCCTAGCATCTGCAAGTATCAAGTGTTTTAGATTAAAAATACGTCACTGGAAATAATAAGTATAGGTGCTGAGTGTCAAATTGTACTTTGCAATGACTACAACTACAGTATTTTATTTTCAGCAAACTTATGTGGCCGGAAAAAAATCTTTTAGCATGTTATCTAGTAGCAGCTCCTCATCCTTCATTTCAAAACTGATAAATCTGTGGGATAACGAGGCTTCAAAATCCTTCTTGAGGGGCTGTATCAGCAGCCAACACAAAGTGAGGTGGAAGGCAGCAGCCAATGTAAGTAATGATCTGGATCTTTCCCTGTCTGCTTTGCAAAGAAGACCTATTGCTAAAGTAGTATTGAAGATTACAGGCAGGTAAAATTGTAATTTTTTCTGCTTTTCCCCTAAAGCTATTGCCCTAAGATAGTGTCAGGGTAGCCTTCTCTGCTCTCATGTATCTAAAACTATAGCAAGTTAATTCACTGCTCACTCCAAGCACTTCTCATTAGGCAGTAGTCTGCATATCTCTGCAGTTCTCACCATCACTAAGCCAAATATAGAAATGTTCCTGAGGGATGACTGTTGCTCTAAGCAAAAGCCTAACCAAAAAACTAGTTTAAGATAAATGTATATCAGGAAGAACAATTGGTCTCACCATGTAAATGACCTCTGATTAATTAATAATTATTTTCTGGAACTGGACGCTTATATACAGGAAGCAGAAAGCCAAACAGTTCAGTCTATCTATGCTAACATTTGCTTGAGAGCTTGGCTCCTATTACTAGAGAGTCATGCCTTTTCCTGGGGCACAGAAAAAGGATAAAAGGAGCCAGTTATAAAAAGTTTAGCTCTCATCACATGATCCAGAAGCCCTGCTGTGAATGAAAGGGAAATAGGGGATGTGTCATACATCAGCCCTTAAAGTTCTCTATAGGTTTCTCCAAGCCAGCTCTGCCAATTTCAAGTATTTCATGGACTTCTTTTGTTAAGCGTTTTTTTTTGTTGCCTAGACTCATCCTCTGTATTACTGACATCTGAGGAAAGTAAATACTGCTCACTTGCAGTTTTCTTTCTCATGCTAACACTTCTTGTGAGCAGTGAAAGCTGATGATGGTTGTATTGCAGTTATTTATGCCCTGTTTAATTTGCTCTTACTGGAGCTGGTTGAGAACACCTAACAACCTAATTTTGGAAAATGGAAACTTAGTATTAGGGAACTGATTCAAAAATAACAGCTTTGACATAAAATTAATAAATAAATCAAAGAATGCTTCTTACCTGAGAAATGCCACTTTCTGAAAAGCATGTAGGAGAACACCACTTATACACAACTTAGTGCCCAGCCTCTACGCATCTAAGATGTCAAGATTCACGTCCTTCCTAAATTGGTATTAGCTCATGTCCTTATTTTTTAGTACAGAATATATGGATATCTGCTGTTCTTTTGAAGAAAAAAATGCTTCCAACTCTCTAATGCAGACATGTCAATCCTACCAGAGGGCTGTTTCAGAAAAAATTAATGCTAACAGTATGGAAATAACTCTAAAGAATGCACATTTCCAGTAGTGGATCCATTCCGTATGCTGGAGCCTGAAATGAGTGCAGAACTGGGGAAACCATGTGGGAAGTCTGAGTGCAACTGAGCAGCCCTGATGTCCTGGACCTGGCTGGCCAACTTGTAGTATAAGAGCCAGCAGTTCTATGGAAGCTTTCTGGCTGATGGGAAAAATGAATTCTGACAGCTGCACACTGCAAAATCAGGTGGGTAATGTCCTCTCACCCCAGAACACTGAGGGCCTTGTTAGCATGAAAAACTGGACAAGCTCTAAGCCATCTTGTCAGTCCTGGCAAAAATTAGGTAAGCTTGGTGTTCCCCACATGTCTACGTACATCCAGAGCTTTCCAACAGTAGCATGTTGCGAGTGTGGGCAGTGGTGTCAGTAAGATAGGTTTTGGTGTGTACCTGGTAATTCGTGTGCAGGCAGTCATGGAAGAGCTTGTCATCTGCCTGCCAAAGCTGCTGGCACGTTGATGCCTGTGGCTTCTACTGTGTCCTTAATAGCCCTTGTAAAGCTGTGGCACCACATGATATTGCTAAATCTTCAACTTCGTTATACTTAGATGTTATACTTAGTGGTGTCTTGGTCTTGAATGTTTCATTTAAGCTATAATACGGCCCAAATCTGTAGCTTTGATATAAGTTCAGTCCACTTTGTTTTCTGATTCCTGAGAAGATGAGTGACTGACCCACCTCTGGATTTTGTGTTAATCATAACAGCAGCAAACCTTTGGAGATGGAAGTCTAGGTTCTGTCAGCACAGAAAGCAGTGGTACCCCAACTGGGACTCCCAAACTGTCCCCATGATGGAAGGTTCTAAGTCCTGGAACATGGACATTGCTGGCAGCAAATGTTACTTGTGATCTTTGGGCTCCCCCTGAGAAACCATGGAGTACTTTAGACTGAAAAGGATTTTCATTTTCCTTACTCAGTGCTCAGAACAGGGTAGTCCTGGGAGAGATATGCTTGTTGCCAAACGTGAAGGGTAACAACTGTATGCTTGTGAAAGCTGTGCACCTGTAGTATGTCTTAAGTGGGTATCCTTCCAGAAACAATCTGGCACTCCTGAAGCTGCAAAAACTTATCATTTACCAGGTAAATGGGCAGCTAGCCTTTGGGACAGTTTGCTTCCTATCTGACTAAAATGCAGCATAAGGATTAGGAATGCTTCTGCTATTCTCCACAGGTTTTGAAGCAAGCTCTTCTGAGCAGGCTTCCCTCTGACTTTAGGGTGTAAGTGTAAGCTGTATGTGGTCAGGAGAATAGCAGTGACCATCTATTCTATGTGTCTCAGCTGTACTATGATCATCCAAACTAATGAGCCAAAATTAAGCAGACATGTCCCATGGGAGCAGTTCTACAGCCCACCACTGCTGTCCATGTGCACAGTGCTAATGATACACACCTCTGCACTGGTAGCAAAGTAATGTACTTGAGGTAGCAGAGGCTGGGATTTGAAGGAAAAAAATTCTATTTTGCCTAAAATGCCCAGATTCTTGTTAAAGGAATATCTTGTTGCAGTATAGAACCTAGGTTTTATACAACTAAATGCAGTGCTTGGATAGAGCTGAGAGGTTATTTTTCTGGCTAATATATGTAGCTCAGAGCAGGACTTGGGGGAAAGAAAATGGGAAGAGCAATAAGCAGTGAAGGAATGAGATCTAGACAGAGATGGGGCATGAAAACAGAGCATTGAATAAGGAGGATAAATGGATCTCACTGTACCATGGTGAGAGTACCCACAAAGAAAGACAATCAGTCTTCCTAAGAACTGCTTAACTACATGAATGAGTAATGGGATTTCTGCCCTCAAGAAGAGAAATCCTGGGTCAAACCAGCCTGAGGTAAAGCAGCTGCCCCGTCC